AGAAGAAGCCACATAATTGGTTGATAAATATTTATTCTAAGTCTCATAATACCTCAAAACAACTCACATGTACTCTCCAGATCTCCAGTCCAGGATTTTTACCCAGGTCGCTGAAGTCGACCTCGCCAACTTCTTGGTTGCTACCCATAATTATGTACTACACGGTAGAGGCTTGCTGAAGAATAAAGAAAAAGAGAATGATGAAACCACAGCACTGGCAAGGGAACATATACAGGGGAAGTTTAACGCAGCGGATGGATCTTGAACTGCCGACAAACCTGCTTTATTCATTTGGAACAATTTTCTAGAAAGAGTTTTGGAAGTTCCTAAAAAAACGGACGCTAGTAAGTTCCCTGATAAATTTTAGCCTAAAACAACAACAAAATAGCAATTTTGGAGCAGAATTGAGATCCTAAGGATTTCTTACATTCTGGGTGATACCCGCTATTTTCGGCAGAGAAAGAAACGTTCATAAATTCAGAAACATGCTTTGTAAAACAGTAGATCTGGAATCAGAGCTCTACAGCTTGCCTACTAGTACGCAGCTTAAAAGGTTCCAGCCCAGATGTGTTTCTTTCTGAGTCAAAAAGACTTTTATATACAAATTTTTTTGTATCTAAAAAACTGTATAATCGCAAAGATGTAATGTTATAAGTGAGATCGAGGAATTATCCAATGCTGCGACGGGAGCTAGCCCGCAGTCTGTTGGGCATCCTAGTTTTTTTCGTTAAGCTATGGTTACAGCACATTACGTGCATCTGTGCCGGAGGAGAAGACGTGACTTTTAGTTGATTTTCAGGATTTCTTTGCGCGAGCAAGCTTGAGTTGATTTCTAATCAGAGTTTTGAAATGGTGAACTCTCTTAACTTTCTGTAACATCTAAAATCCACTTCAGATGGGAAAAGGTAATCACAGGAAGTTGAGCAAAAAGAAATATTGATTACGTACAGATGTTTCCAATATACATGTTGCACTAGCTATTTGAAGATGAAATAACAGATGCTAGTCGGCGCATTTTTTAGCCTACCAAAAGCTTTTTCCAATAAAAATTTCCCTGCAAAGGAACTTCAGTTAGCTTCTTTTCAGTGAAATTTTGCGGCGTCAATGAAAAAAATCAGAGGTCTTTCAAAAGACGACTTGTGAATTCACATGCTTGCTTTTAGAAAAGATTCATGCATAAGTAATGTAGAAAGCCAGTAAATTTCCGAAAGGTGGAGAATAGCTGTCAATGATGCTTAGGTAGAAGAGATTAAACATACAAACTTTTCGATGATACATTCATTTACACTTGATCGGTGGTAAACATTTGTTAAAAGCCCACAGAACATTTTCGGGTTAGCCAAATTTAAGCATGCTTTCGCTTCAAAAAAGGGCATATCAATTTTGGAAGTGGAAGAAACAGCCACTAATATGTCACTGAATATCTGTAATAATTTGAGGAAAGGTAATTTCATTGAATTTCCGTGTCTTGTTTCTATAGCTCAAACGATCATGAAAAAGAGGTCAAAAAAAGGAAAAATGGAGCTACATAATTGCTTAGGTTGTTCTGACAGATAAGTACTGTTCAGTGTTCAAAGATACTGGATAATTTTAATTTTGAATAAAAGATGATGTTTCTCCTACTATGCTGGTAATTTCAACCTTCAATACAAATTCAAAAGTGGTCAATGAATGGAAAACAGACACGCAGTAGAAATCTGTCAAAAGAAGGTAATAACTTCAATTTGATGCATTACTCAGTAAATGGAGTATAAATTGTTAAGCGTGGAGATCAGTCGACAATAGTGTTAAAGAATGCCAACAAATTATCACCACCACTAAAAAGGCAAAGTATTTAAAAAAAGAACTCACGGGTGTGGTGAAAGTCGCAATGATTTTGCCCACATAATGTTCTAAACAAAATAACCGCATGGTGCTTCCTCAAACAGAAATTACTTTGTAAAGTCATACTACTATGATAGAATCATTATTTACGACTCCTTACTAACAATCAGAAATAAAAGACCACTACGTTTTTTTGTTCATTCTTGACTGTGGTTGTCAAAGATGCTACAAGAGTTTCCGGGCCCAAATTTCGCGACCTTGTGCTAGGAATCTTGATGAAATATTTACTGCTAGTTTGCACGGGCAGCGTACGATGACAACCATACAGTTAGAAACATCTACTGGTGTTAAAAGCTGTAATTTCTAAAACCTACACAGCACAAATGTGCTCATTAGATACTTTTTTTTGTTCCTCAGACTCCCTTGCATCAAACTCACAACATGTTTTTTTCACTCCGGAAAATTGAAAGTTTTTTACTAGCAATTTCTGCACTTTTTTAGTCTCCCATCTCCATTTTGATCCCGAAATCATAAGGTTAAAAAGCATTTACATGAAGAAACAGCGTAATATAGGCTTATTATCTCTCATCCAGCAATATATGTTTCAAGATACTTATATTTCAGGGTGATTGAATCAGCTAATTTTGAAAGTAGAAGTCAACGAAAAAATTCACAACTAGCAGTTGGTTCACGATTTACAACAATGTTAATGAATAGACAGCCAGTGCAGGATCAAAAAACTTAAGGGTAACTCTTACTTTATTTGCAAAGATATCGAATGACTAGAGGCCTCGTGTCTAGGTTTGACAGGATAATCAGGATGAAAGAGGGATTTCTATATCAGCTGTTCACTTTAAAACACGTCCGTG